CACTCTCGCGCCCCAACGTCGTGTATCACTCTTTGTATGTTTACATTATGTATCAAACTCATTTAAGGCGTGCATTGTATATTGTTTTTACTATAATATGTCTTTTTTTTTTCGCTTGTTACAGGTAAGCAATATACGACATGGACATGTTGACTTGTCAGTACATTAAACTGGAAGAATCGCCTCTGCCAAATTTCTTCAATCTCTCGTCGTACGTCACGGGATCCTTAAAGGTAAATTGGCACTGGCCCTTTACACTTTAGCAGCATCACAACTCTTTCATATAGCCGCTGCCGCCATCGTTGTCGTCGGTTTCCCTTGGGTTATTGTTATTGTTGTTGTTATTATTATTAGTATAGCATCATCGTATAGCAGACATATTATTGTATGTGTGCGTCCGGATGAAAAAGAAAGCCAACGACTCGGGACGACGGATAAAAGCCACGCCGGGTTATTAAACACCACCACCAGGTCCAACACGTGAAAATCACATAATATAACAACGGCAATTACCTTCTAAGTGCTACCCGGATATAAAATCCGTAATTGAACACGTTCGCCATCGCGTATATCCATTAGTTCGGGTAATAACGACTTGGCGGCCAACGGACCAGGGGTTTTGTCTGCTGTAAACCTTGCCCCCTCGTCTTGAACCAATTTACCCCCCCCCCCAATTTCTGTTCTCTCGTTTTCCCGCGGGACACACGACCATCGACAATATCCGTCGAGGAGGGTCTGTTTTAATGTTCATAAATAAAAATAACAATTAAACTGCAACGACTAAACAAATACAATAATAAAAAAAAATTATTTTCTTTATAATATATAGGCGCTCAGAACCTCCACTAAGCCCGGGATCTCCACTTTGGATACAACCGTCCGTCTGTATTTGTCGGTTATTTAATTATATTTATTTGTTTAATGTCTTGTACAAGAGGTACACAGACAGATATATAGATTTAATATGAAGTCATTGGATTATTACATAAACACTGTGAATATATGATCATAACCTAGCCAGTACAGTAAAATAAAATAAAATCGTCCATCCCTTCTGGACGAAAGGGTTGTTTATATAACTTTTTTTATTAAGTATAATTTGCTGAGCGTTTTTACTGCTCGATAACCATAGTTTTGGGTTGTCATTTTTAAAGTTATTAACGTTTGTTAAATTTAGGACTGGGGTGGGGTGTACCGTTCGAGTTTGAAAGGTTGTGATAGATCTGTGGAAAAAAAAACTGTTTTAATATTGTTTAAACTTGTAAAATAACATAAACTAAAGTGTCTCCGAGGAGAAAAACTAGAAAATTGCAATTATTTTTAAGACAGTGTCTATTATGCTTGACGAATCACTTTGTACGGGCTATGTGTCTTGGGTACTAGGCATGTATATTTTCCATAGGGGGGTGGCTGTAGTAGTAACAACAGTAGGATTAAAGTCAGTTTGTCTAATTAGAAGGAAAAAAGCCGTACAATATATCGCGGTGATAAGATGAATGATGGAAGTGAAGAACATACTTCTCCTCTGTCTGAAGTCTGAACATCGTCGGTCGCTCGACGTTTTGATAGACATTTTTTCTTCTTCTATTTTCCGAATCTTTTTATGTTCCAAACTCGAACGTTGAGCTGTATACATATTGTCATTTAATCTCAAAAGATTCGGTCTCGCGGGTGGGAACTTGTGCGCGTCGTCTTATGTGAACTTTCCGAATCAACCGAACGGCTTTTGTCGCGGTTTTTCCAATTCCGTCGTCGACATGTTATTATTATGTTTCCAACACATGTGGCTTGCATAAAAAAAAAAACAAAATGTAAACTCCTTCAATTTATTATTCGAATAATGCCCACCTGAGTATCCTAGTGGGGGCTGTGATCGATGCGCTGTTTGGCGTTCTCATTAAACAAAAAAAAAAACGTTATTTTTTTTAATTTTTTATGAAATCTAATTCCAATAAACGGCGAGCATTTATTTTTGCCGAACACGGCTTGGTATTTGTGTGTACACTTCTTTTAATGAACTCGCGAGATTATATAGTTTACCGATCACGGTAGTATCCTTTTACCGATTACCAGACTCCATAATGACTGCCTTTGGCGGTCGTCTTATCCCCCTCCCCGCCCTCCATTTGCCGGCTGAAAAGAGGAGAGCGTTGTTTGACCTTTTTTTTTTTTTTTTTAATTGGACTCCGTGTAGCAAAAACGAGTGCTGCTCTTGGTTTCGGGCTCCTCTGTTCTTTTACCAGCTTCGATTAATTAACTAATTGATACCGAAACCGATGATACGGCGCATTATCAGCTGATCTATTATATTGCGTCACGTCCGCGGTCCGCAGTTCAAGTCGGGACATCAAAAGTTTAGAGCCGGTCAAACAAAACTGGGGTTTCCGTCTGGAAATAGCCACCACGTCAACCCCTATTTTCTTCTTGCCCGAACCTTACATTCACTTTACCCGCCAATGTCGTTTGATGACTTGTTTACTCGGGTCGTTGCCAAATTCGATTAAGGCCGAAACATTAGACTTTAGTTACATTGTAATTTATTATTTGTGCAATTACACAATTTTTAATGGATTTTCAGTCGTTGAATTTCGAACACTCACAGTCGTTTTTTTTTCATTTAAAATATTCCTTAAAAGGTTTTTTTTTTTAAATAAGGAATTACCTAAAAAAACATGTTATGTTTACATTATCGAATATAATTGACGTGCGATTAATTCAGCTAAGACTTGGGTAAATACTGCCTTAGCGCGCATTGGATGGTTTTTCTCTGCTGGGCACAACTTTGACGCTACTCATTAAAATCAGGGGTTTCCAGTTCGGTGAAACCGAGTGGGGGTTGCGGTGCGGTTCGAATCATCAGGCCGCATACCTATAGTGGTTTTCGGGTTTTCTATTTGATCACCGGTCGAATTTTCGAACTCGGAACGCTCTAATAAAGGTATTCGCAGTGCGCCCTGGTCTGGTCTGACCGGAATATTATTGAAATAATCATTTTGCACAAAGGCAAAGGCGGTGGGCTCGCTTCACCCCCGCCCTCAATAATGTCGGCCAAGAGTTCGGGGCTTTGATTTTGAAAAGCACACAGCGGTTGCCGTCACGTTTGCATTGAGCTCAGAATGATTATTATTATTATTTATCATTGATTGATAAAAGGCAGTGCCGGGATAAAAGAAACGCAAAATAAATTGATCACGGGAAATTCTGAAATTGGATTTCCACAGTTTGTTTAACCCGTTCGACTTAACGGTTCTTTTGATCCACGTCGGGGTTTCTCAAACGCGGTCCACCCTCAAAAAAAAAAAAAATAAATAAATAAATTTGATTTAAACAAGAAAGCCGCTAAAGTGAAGTTAAGTCACATTTTTCGGTCGCCGGTAAATTTATTAATTTTAATGTAATTGCTTTTCGGGTTTTTTCTAGTTTCATTCAAATGCATTTTTCAAACTTTTTCAGTGGAAAATATGTTCGCTTTGCTTGTTTTTCAAAGTATGTTTAATATATGAGTGTGTGTGTATACATTTATGTTGTGTCTGTGTTAATCCTATTAAAAACAGTATTTATTTAGCGCAAAAGTTTGTTCTGCTGTAGTCATTATAGATAGAGGCTGCCAATAAGCGCTGTGTGTACCCACTTTATTCTTTTAAGTAAATCTTTTTTTTTAGAAAATCTATCGAGAGGCTTTAGCGGTGTACAAATATTGTTGTTTAATGATTATTAATTGGGCGAGCTGGAATTATTTAACATGTGTAATTGGTATAATAAAGAATTAATTAAACCAAAAAAAAATGGCACCATTTTCAGTTTTTATCTACTTAACCATTGTCCATTACAGCGTTTAAAAAAAATACAATTTTAATTTCCCCGTGTGTTGAAAGCCAGTATACACTAACTTGTAATAAACATGTAGTTTTGTTTGTCATTTTTTTTTTTACTGACGGACAAATTAGATTTAAAACAGCATTTAAATTGATCCGTAAAAAAACAATTAAGCTTTAATTAAGTCGCTATGAGTAAACAAATATTTATGGTTTTTTTTTTAACATATCAATTTTCTATTTTTTTTATCGGTTTCGGCTAAACCGAAAACTTAAAACGGTCGGTAAAGCAACAATAATATTGTTATCTGGTTTGATCAAGCATTTAATTTGAACTAGTGATTTAATGACCGAAATAGTGTGAAATAAAAAAAAACATTTTAATTCGATTACACTATGCGATTCAATGGCGGCAAGTTCACGTTGGCGCATGTGTATTATACCTAAATTATACCATGGAAGGTTTTGTTGGTGTATTTAGAATGTTTTCGAATTTTCAAACAAATATTATTAATATAAATCATGTTACGGGTACTACTTGCGTCGACGTTACTGGTTTAACGTGCACCTAAGCAAACAAGCGGAAATAATCGCAATGTGTACTTAACGGGGAAAAAAACACCACATGCCAATGAAAGTTGTTACCGACAAAAGTGTTGCGCGGCTAAGACGATTTCAAACGAGGCGACGGTGGTTGACGATTTCGAACAAGTCAGTGTTGGAACTTACTGTCTTACGACCACGGCGTTATGAGCGAATAAGATGCATGAGTAATGTAAGATTTTAAAACTTGAACAGAGTATTCATTGAACAAACAAATATAACAAAAAAAAAACAATTTTATTCGAAGAACCCACCTATGTCAATGGCACCGTACAACAAATGCGGTTTATCTTTTGCCACCGGAAGACTTACAAGCGTCTGTGGTTAATTATTAATAGGCGCGTTTGCGTTGATAATTATTATCGGGACAGAGATATTAGTCGAAATCACCAGGTAAGTGTGTGTGTGTGTGAGTGTGTGTGTACGTGTATGTGTGCGCGCTTATGTCGGAGACGGCGGCTGTGGTGCGCGGGAAGTGCCCCCTCCCCCCCGATGGGCCGTACCTGTGCTTTGACGCATGCGTACCTGGTCCGAACGCCGACGCCGCCGTCGTTGCCGGACTCGTTTCGGGCGGCACACGGCCGGCCACAGTGCGATCAGAGTCCGCATCAGTACCGGATCTTTTCCGCTACACACCGACACGCGGGCCACACGCTACACTTCTCTTGCCGTCTTTTTTTCCCCTCCCCCGCCAGTTTTCCTCCCTCGTTTTTTCGGCTCTTTTTTTTTTTGGTTTTTTCCGACCGACTTACAAAAAAAAAACACTTCCGCAAAGTCGTCGCCGTCGTCCCGCAACTCCATTATTATTATTATCATCGCATATCGTCCGGCGGCCCGTAAGGAGTGCATTTTCTACAAGCGTTTATCGCTTTATCCGATGCGATCGTCTTCCGGTTGACCACCGGACGGTCGTGTGACGACCACCACTAAGCCGCCGCCGTCGTCTTTTGCCGCCCGGCGGGCACCGCGGTCCCAGCGCCATCAGCCATCACGTACTGCTATACGTACCCGGGGGCACTGCACGTAGCCGGAGAGCAACAGCCGTCGACGCTGCGGACTTGTTGCGCGCACTGTTGCTCACCCGTCGCCGCAGCCGTCACCACTGCCGCCGCCGCCACCGCCGCCGCCGCCGCATACCACCACGTATATCAGCCGGCAACTGTACCGCCGCCGCCGCCGCCGCAGCCTCTTCGGCAACAGTTACAACAACAGCAACAACACTATCAACTGGCCATCGCCGTGACGCCGCAGCCAAAGACACCGCAGCCGCCGCACGTCGGCCTTTACCTGGCCGCCGCCAACACGTCGTACCCGCAACAGTACAGAGAAGTTATCACGACGGCACCGCCAACAGCAACGATCGCCACGCCGGCGGCCGCCGCCGTGCAGGACGACGTAGAGATGGTGAGTTTTTTCGAGAAAAAAAAAACTGATCCGGTCCCTTAGAAAACACGAAAAATCTAGTTCAAACCTTGCGTTAGTTCACTGTTTGTGTTCTGTGTGCAAGAGGAACACGTTAGAGTTTCATTAGAGATAAGTTAGAGAATTGCGCTTGTTAAATACTATATCCGATAACCGATTAAAATGTACAACCGGCAACCTAACGATAAAATGCAACGTTTTGGTTGGTTGGATGACTGGTAAAATGTTTCATTTCATCCGGTTTGACGGGAATTCTTCCAAGATTCTCGGCTTTCAAAGAAAGAGGTTCCTCTCCCTCGAGGTCCGTTTGGACAAAAATAACTCTACCCACGAATCCGTTCTTTTTGATGAAACAGGGTTTTTGTCGATTAGGGTTAATCGACTTGACCTAACCGTTTTTTGGTCAACGTTGTCGTCTCGCCTAACCCAAAGATATGTACCAATTTGAACGTCTTCACGTTTCGATAGGGTTTATAGAAATTCTGGTTCTCGAGGAAGTCCTCAGAAGAAAAAAAAAACACTAAACCATTCAAATCGTTTTTTTTATTTATTCGAAAACTTTTTATCTCATTTATTTCGACGATCACTCATATAACTATATGGCAGCACTGGGAACGACCAGAAAGTGAATTTGAAATTGCGAAGCCGGTAAGCGATTATATGCATGTGTATCAGAAAAAGTCAACACGTGCCGCTGTGATGCTTTATAAAAGTTTTATGCCTGTTGTTTGCTTAAAATTGAAAAAAACGCCACGCATTTTGTTAACGCTCATTTAATGCACTTAGATCACTCGAGGGCTTTAAATGGAAATGTTGAGAATTATTCAGAAACTTTTTGTTCTATCAATGTAACCTGTGATTGTATTGTTATTTTTGTGCCGTTTAGATTTCGAGAAAAATACATTAATTAGGTGTTTACTATCTAAAAATTTCAAATTATAGATCAGAAATAAAGAGGTCATTACACTGATCAAGCAGTTATTTGCCTATTGTATGAATTTAGTGTCGAAATCGAATTGTCGGTGTGCTCATATATCTGTCATAATGTCGGTGTTAGACCAATATAGATCTAAGTATTAAACCGGAGTTACCTTGGGGCCAACAATTCGCTACATTATCTTTCATTATGTGTGATAGTTTTGGTATGGTATGGTGTATGGTTCTAGTAGTTTGTTAGATTAATGTGGTTTTATTTTCATTTTGTGTTCAGGGTTACTATGAGTATATTTTGTTCACATATTATTTTCATTACCGCTCAAAATAGTTGTATTTAACGGGCGTTTGGCGAAGTTCAAAATATACATTTGTACGGGAATGATAATATCTTGAAAATAATAAATGATCTATACAACCAGTTTTCAACTCATCTCGGGTTGTGTCCATTTAAAAAGTCGTCGAAATAAAAACAACATCTCTCTGAACAGTTTTTTCCCGCCCATTTATGTTTGCCTCTTGATGAGTAAGCATGAGTTTAGGTGGCACAAGATCGAAGTATACTTTTTTTTTCTATCTCGATAACATTATGTCTATACATTATTTGACTGGAACTTCCCAATCCCATTTTGCGCTTGTCTTATCATTTTTTAGCTGTTCAGTGATCCGAATTCAACTCTTTACTTGACAAGGGCAAATTCTAATTAAAAGTATAAAAAAAAGAGTTCATCACGAAAGTTTATGCTGAAAACGTTTGTATTTTAAGAGATACATAATCCGTTGTCCGAGTTGAGAGAAGTGACGTTGCACGAACTTATCCGACTTGAAATAGCAATGTACAATGCGGTACTACAAGGTGGTCTCCATATTTTGCTGCTGTATCCCGTAGGTTTCCACATATTATTGCCGGATTTCCCAATCGCAGACCAGAGGCCCTTGGATCCGATCCGCGTCAGGTTCACGCGTTAAAATCACTTGTTTTTTGTGTGAGGGGGGGGGGGGTCCGTTAAGGGAGGGGCAAATCAAAATATGTCGTACAAATCTCCCGGAACGCATGAATACAGCCGGTGTCTTATCCGGATGTACTTAGGCCGGTACCGCCTGCGCACCGCTACCGTGGTCGTGGTAACCGATAATTTGCGTCAGCCGTTGCGGTGCCTTTTTCCTTTGGGCCGTGTAATTTTCAACGGCGGTTATTGTGGCCGCTTATAGGTTGTCTCCGCCAACTCTGTACGTCTTGTTCGGACTACCCTGGTCTACAAAAGCGGTTGCCTTGCGAGAGGGGGGGGGTTAAGGTCGGGGTGTCTAATGGTGGTAATCTGCTCGAGATCACGGCCGTCCGATGCCTCGGTGATTTCACTTCCCTCTCCTCCTCCTCTCCGCCCCCCATAGGTATGTATATGTATATATATATATATATATATTAATCGCTCCAAGGTGAACGCCGGTCTTCCTTCCCTCCCCTTACCTAACGCTCGCGGGGGAGATCCGCCTACCGGGCGCGTCCGAATCGACTCGAGTGAGGACGTTCACGTTGTGTTTTTCGATTGGTCTCTGAACGTTTGTTGACATTGGACAAGGCCGTCGGCGGTATACGTTTAAAAATAATGATGTTTTTTTTTGAGGGTAAACCGTTGGAAAAAAAAAATTGGGATTTTTTTCTGCGCCAAAAGAACCTGTCAACGTTTTTTTGGGTTTATATTTTTACTCGCTGTATATTTTTTATTGGCAATGCAAGTCTATACGATTTGCATCGTCCACCGTGTGAACGCCCCCGCGCATTATTTAATAACATCTTAAAAAAACCAGAAATTCGTTTTCGCTTTCCAGGAATACCTGCACGACTTAACGGTTTACCGGTTTCTCGGGTAACCGAACCCGTTTGCAGTTATTACTTCTTAATTTCTGCAATTTTCAATCGTTTTTTCATTGTAGTAATTATCGAAGAACGGCTGCGTCAATCGAATGTCGACCCAAGCAGTATTAATAATTACCGTCGTCAGAGGTACAGGAAGAGTAGGAGTAGGAGGAGGAGGGCGGAAGTGCCGTTTTATTCCGATTTGTGTTTACCGTTTCCGTTTTGTCTTTTGTATATACATAATATAAACATTGTGAGTAATACAATTATCATACCGCCGCCGCCGTCGTCTTAAGTACAAAGCAGTGTCGAGAAATACCGGAGGCGCACCGCCGCCGCGCCGTTGCTGGCATCAGTCGTAAATAACAATTTCACGAAAAACGTTTAAGTTAATTGAACGTTTCAAATCGTTTTTCGCGCATAATAAACACACTTCAAGACGAAAACAGCTATAAAGCGACAGTCAACACCGGATCTGCTCTGAAATCAAAGTATATAAACGTACTCAAAGCCCTCAAAAATAACAATATTACGCACCTCGTTTGAATGTATTATTTTCTTTTATTTCTCCTCGAGGAAGAGCGCACCAACTACCGTTTCTTTTATCTAAATCGGCCATTGGATTTTTAACCGATTCGGTTCGATAACGGCGGTATAATAAACGACTAGCGTTGTTGTCAGGCTTGGAAACCTAACGGCATTATATTTAATATATATCATCTGTGTTCCCACCGTGTATCCAAGCTGGAACTCCGGTGTAGATCCGCCTCGGGCGACAACCGACCGTGCTCGCTGAGAAAAATATTAGACAAGCGTTTAATTGGAATAGAAAAAATAAATCTTTTTCCGAAGGGGCGACAGAGCGTACACGGGGGGGGGGAGAAGGGTTGGGTGAGGCACAAGCGACGTGTCCTGTATGTCCGGCGAGATATTAAGCCGTTTCGGGAATTTGGCGTTGGTTTTGAGCGATTTTCAATTTCCCAGGTATTTACCGGTGTCGGTCAGGAAAAAAATCCTAGGCTGTCATAACTCACCACAGTGGCCGCGATGGGGGGGTTAAATAAAAATAACTATCCGTGTGTTGTGTATGTGTTTATTATTATATTTAGTAGTGCAAGGGAAACACCACCGGGTTATTATTACAACCCCGTGCGTTGTCGTGCCAAAGTCTTGTTGGCCATAAATAACGGCGCACTTTTTGATTAAAAACAACACAAGACAATCTAATATCGTGTATATTATATGGATCCGGCTAGGTTAGAAGGTATAGGTATAGTATTTATAAGTAGTAAATCGCACTGTCGAAATTCCGCGAAACGTTGGACACATGGAACCGGTCGGCGAAGAAGTGATGCGCGGTCGCCCGTTAGAGTTAGTTAATATACCATAGGTCATGGATTCATTTGAATAAAATTCACAGCGGTCTTAAAAAAAAAATATGTGTATAAGTTCTCTCTCTCTCCGCCGGACGGATAAGTCTTTTAAACGTATGTGATTGAATTTATATATATATATATAAATGTACTATACACACATTTTTATCCACCACCGCCACAATAGTTCGGTACGCGGCCGCACGCACCGCGTTGTACTTAAGACTCAAATGAATGACTCCGTGTAACGAATGCGTGCTTTGACCACTAGCTGTTGTTGTCTTGTACACATGCACACATACATACTTATAAAGAGAGACCGGTTCCCTCGGCCGGCAGCGGCACAGTCAAGGTGAACCGGTCAATAGCCCCACGGAGGTCCTTGACTCGGCTATCTGACGGAGAAGCGAATATAATCACTTTCTTCAAAAAATGTTGTTTTTTTTTTATATTCGTCCGTCTCTCTCTTTCACGGGTACGCCCCTCCGCCGGCCAGGAAATATAATAATAGTACGTCCGACGATGACTCATCCGCCGGCCCAAGACGTTTAATTGTGTGTATACTCACGGGAAAAAAAAATAAAAAATGATAGGAGATCACGGCGAGAGCCGAGGAAGGAAATTTTACGCTAGGATTTTTCCAAATGTTTTTTTTATCGTTGGGAACACTCGGTATACACACACACACACACCGTATAATAATCGAAGCAAGGCCACGGTTAGGTCGTTGGAATCATCGTCTTCACGCAATCGTGATCTCCGGCCGTCGTATTGAAATAGTGGTTTCCCAGAGCCGCCGGTGCAGGCCGTCGATCCGC